AAACATGCATGCACGCACCCCAGATTACCCGTAAAGTTAAGAATGAACACATACCCTGGATTACGCCTAGAATAAAAGACAGAATACATAATAGAGATTTTCTAAAAAAACAGACGGTAAAATCTGGGTCTAAGTGTGCGCATGAAGCCTATAAAAAAGCTAGAAATGAAGTGGTTAAAATAGTTAAAAATGCGAAATCAAATTATTACATGCAGGCATTTAGTAATTGCGAGGCAAATCCAACGAAAATGTGGAAAAAAGTTAATGAATTAACAAATAGGAATGTAAAATCTACCAATATAAATGAAATTTCAGATGACGGGAATATAGTAACTGAACCAGGAGAAATTGCAAATATTTTCAATAATTTTTTTACAGACATAGGACCCAAATTAGCAAAAGATCTTCCGGAACATAACCAGATACTAGAATCGTATGTAAAACCCTTAAACACCATTTTCCGTTTTCAGTAAGTAACTGAAACAGATGTTTCTAAACTGTTATATACTATTAAAACAAATAAAGCTACAGGAGATGACAGAATCTTGGCTAAACTATTGAAAGATTGTGCTGACGTAATTGCTAAGTCGTTATCAACAATATTCAATAAGTCAATATTATCGGGTAGTTTTCCAGATGATATGAAAATAGCAATTGTTTCCCCTATTTATAAATCGGATTGCAAAAGTAAACCCACAAATTATAGACCTGTGTCTGTATTGTCTGCGGTTGCTAAGATTTTTGAAAAACTTATATCTCATCAGCTTTCAAACTATTTGGAAAGTAATAAAATATTAGTAAACCAACAATCAGGTTTCAGAAAGAAGCATTCAACAGAAACTTCATTACTATCTGTTACGAATGAATGGTATTTAAATATGAACAAAGGGTACCTAAATGGAGTTGTTTTTCTTGACCTAAAGAAAGCATTTGATTGCGTAGACCACAGTATCCTACTCAGAAAATTAGAACTTTATGGCATAAAAGGGGTTGAATTAAATTGGTTTAAATCATACTTATCAAGTAGAATCCAAAGGTGTCAGATTGTACAAACTATTTCAGAGCCGCAAAAAATTCGTAGGGGAGTACCCCAGGGATCTAACTTGGGTCCTCTGCTATTCCTTCTTTATATTAACGACTTGCCAAATTGTTTAAAATATACTAAAGCGAATATGTTTGCCGACGACACAAATCTAACCACTGAAAGCTTAAATAAAGAAGAACTACAACGGCGATTAAATTTCGACCTAGAGCTTATGCACAACTGGTTGTTGGCCAATAAATTGACATTAAATAAAGATAAAACAGAATATATGCTAATTGGTTCACACCAGAGATTATCGACTGTTGAAACTGACCCGATCTTAGAATTTGGGGATACAAAAATTAAGAGGGTTAATCACGCAAAATCATTGGGCATAATTATTGATGAGCAACTACTTTGGAATAATCAAATTGAAGCTATTTCAGGCAAAGTATCAAAAGGTATAGGTATGCTACGACGAATAAAGAACTGTGTCCCCAAAACAACTTTGATTAAGGTGTACAATGCGTTAGTATTACCATATTTTGACTATTGCAGCCTTGTATGGAGCAACTGTAGTGATCAGCTGATCAGTAAGTTGCAGAAAATGCAAAACAGGGCAGCAAGGGTCATAACTGGCAGATCATACGAGACACCTTCAAATGAAGTTTTGAGGGAACTGGATTGGAAACCCTTAATTGATCATTGGGAAAAAAATAGTTTAGTATTCATGTACAAAGCGAAGAGAAATGAATTACCAGAGAATTTGATGAACCTGTTTGAAATTAAAAATAACATTAATTATAATTTACGTAGCAACGGAAATGAGTTTACTCTACAAAAGCCTAAAACAAATTTTATGAAAAAAAGCATTAGCTATAATGGTGCTAAAACATGGAATAATTTACCGAGATGTGTAAAAACAAGTGATGCCACAATTAGGCAATTTAAGGCTGCGCTTGGTGGTATTAAACATTAAATGTAAATGTAACTAAGGCCAGTCAGTTTTGCATGGTTTTATATCTTTTATAACTAGTAATAGGTGTTTAGTTAACGTGTGATATCTTTATAACTTTAACATTATGTAATTGTTATGTATTGCTTCCATTTGTAAATATAGATTAGTATAGTGTGAACGGCTCCTTGGAAATCAATAACCTAGGTGTATTGAAGGATAACCGTTGTAAAATAAGATTTTTAATAGTAATAATAATAGTGTCTGAAAATCAAATTTCGCGCGTCTGGAGTTAAAATTTGGCTTCAAATTTTGAATTTTCCGGCTGGAGGTAACGTTCCAGTTATATTCCGATTTCAATGATTCGTAAATGTGTGATTAATAGTGCTCCAAGACGTGAAACAGATTTTAAGAAATGCCGAGAGACGTGCCGACCTAGGTGAAATTTAGGTCGACCCTTTTTTGCCGATCTCAGTTTTGACAGTTTTCGAGGGCTTCAAAATGGATGCCGACAAGGGAAAAAGGTCGCTTCGCGCGGAAAAATTCGCTAGTGGAAAACCGGCTTAATAGACGGTAATAAAGCGCATTTAGGGGCGGACCATTTGATTTTTGAGGGGGGGGGGGGGG